CAGTTCAATTTCACGATATTCACCACTTTATGGAGATACGAACAGAACATGAATAGATTTATTTATAAGAAGGCATTGATATTTACACACGAGCACGTAAGTCTCTGAATATTAAAACATATAGCATAGTCCATCCATCCATCCATACATACACACATACATACATATATATTGACTTAGGAATAGAGCCTGAAGTACATTTTCTCTACCTGGCCTATGTGCCACATACTCTAATTTTATTTTACCAACTCTTCCTTCACTCCGCCATTATACTAAACACCGCCATCTCTTTCCATCCGCTTCTCTTCCTATTTTCCCGCCTTTTTCTTTTCGACATTTTCCTGCTTGACGCCCAAACCTGGCCATGCAATGCAAACATTTATCGATTCAACAAGACTTCCTCACGAAAAAAAAAAATATCTGCTTCGGTCTTCGAAAAAATTTCATCAGTTACTTTTTTCTCCCTTTTCTTCTCTGTTTGATTGTTTGTTTACTTATTGATTTGTTTATTTTTTTTTCCTATCCTTATCTTTCTTATCTGGTATTTTACATTGACATTTTGACAACACACACACACACACACACATATATATATATATATATATATATATATATATATATATATATGTAGATAGATAGATAGATAGATATACACATACATAGATGATTGCACCCCCAACATTAAATATATATAGATGCAAAGGAAGGAAAACTGAAAATATTTTGGCCCCACAAAGAAGAAATTCCTTCCCCACCGCAAAAATTTTGTTGTTTTGGGAAGTAGGGCAGACTGAGAACTTTTGGACCATCAGCACCTCCTCAAATATATTAGAAAAATGTAAAAAAAAAATTTGAGCGATATGTTTCGTCTTTTAGGATTTCATCGGAGTAAAGTGATGTTTATGTGGATATGGTTACATATGCGCATGGATGAGAGGGGTCGCTGAAATTTAAATTTTAGCATCCGTAATTTACCTTGACTTTGTTAGCTTGATGAATATTTATAAGCGTTCTTAAATTTAAAAATTCTGTTAAAACTAACAAAATTTTTACTTTTGTTTATAAATATTTGCTGCGAAATGAAATCCTTACGTTTGCGAAATTTTATCCACACTCACAAAAGTAGATTTCCAAGAAGCAGGAAAGCAAGAGGAAATCAGGCATTTATTGTAAAGTTTAGAGAGAATAGGAGCCAGTTCAGGAGGACAAGGTCTATTGCAGGGATTCCATCAGGTTCACATCAGTTTAGAAATGATAGCAGAGACAGTGGAAGGAGTTAGATGCATACAGAGACTCAGATGCCTGTTAACTCAAGAGTAGAGTTTGAAGAGAATTTACGCACAACACATTCTGCTTTGTCAGCAAAAGATGTTAGCACTTCAAATTGAGTGAAGGGGAGAGGAATAGTCGACTTATTCTTATTAAATAGACTATTACAGAGCCGCCAGAAGTCACCAGAGCCAAAGATGTCAGAGGCTATACAGTGCCTCGGTCTATGACCAAACAAAGACTTAGCCCCTTCGAGGACACCTATACTTAAATACATTCACAGGCACCCCGCCATACAGGCAGTATTTAGTTTGGTTCGTAGCCATTACTACCATCAATTTTGGTATTCTTTTTATTGGTAGTGGACACACGTTTTTGAGTTGCAATCCATCTTTTAATTTTACATACACACACACATATACACACAAGCATGCATATATATATATATATATATATATATATATATATATATATATATATATATATATATATATATATATATATATATATATATTTTTATTTTTGTAGGTACAAAATTTAATGATCGAAATAAAGGATAAAACTTAATATTACGAGACATGTTAAAAACAGGCGAAACAACCGGTTTCGCTCCCGCTCTTCAGGTTTCAACGGGAGATTTAATTTACAATTAACACAGAAAAATGTACAATAAAAGGAAGATGTGGAAGGAATATATATATATATATATATATATATATATATATATATATATATATATATATATATATATATTATATATTCCTATTCGAAGGGTGATGCAGTTTCGGGCCCTGCCGGAGAACACTTTCATTTTTTTTTACTTAGATTTATCGAGTTCACAGTCCGACAGATGTCTTACACACTGTATAATAAATAAATAAAATTGGGGCATCTGTTTCAAATGAGAAGTATACAATATATATATATATATATATATATATATATATATATATAAGTATTTGCAAAATATAATATACAATAATATATAAATTGTCAAATCAAATCAATATACAATAATATATAAATTGTCAAATCGAGAGATAACGAATAAAAATATGCATAGGAGTAACCGAAGGGCCCTGGAAACAGAGAAATGACGCACACAAAACATCCTTTATAAAGAGTAAATACACGAACAGAAAAACTGTGTTCTAAACATATATGGGAAAGAAAAAGTCAAATTACTTCAAAAATATCATTGAAAGTAAGGAAAACTAAATCAGCCTCTAACACTAAATCCAAAAACTGTAATCTCAGTCTGTCGGAGAAAATAGATATAATTAACTTCCCAGACCAAAATAATTTATCAAATAAATGATCAGAACTCATCTCAAATTGAAGACACGAAAAAATCTTTTACTACGTTACTTAAAAATCGAAAAGTAAAAAATGAAAAAATGAAAAATAAAGTAAAAAAAAAATTAAATTAAAAAATACATGAGAAAAATAAAATAATCCAAGTCAGTAAATAAGTAAACAAAGTAAATAAATAATTAACTAGTTTGTCTATTATTTAATTAATTTAAGTAAATAATAAACAAATTAATTAACTACGAATATACGAATAAACGCAAATAAGCGTAATAATAACATTCAACAATAAATAATAAAATAATTAATGACAAATAATACAGTAAAGAAGTTAAGAAGCAACACTATAAGATAACCACAAAACTGGATTTGTATACATAATTATTTCCATTTAATGGCCCCTAGATTAATTTGAAACATATCTGTTACCACCCAGCCAATAACCGTTAGAATAATACAACAGACATGCCCCTACGCATAATGGACCATTAACACACATATATAAATAGTCGAGCCAAAACACAACGCACATGGCCTGACGATTGCATTTAAGCATGAAATAAACTGTTGCCGCTGGGTATTGACCACAATGTATGTACATACATACGTATACACACACACACACACACACATATATATATATATATAATATATATATATATTTTTTTTTGAATAAAAACAGACCACTTTAAGGTTCCATGTCATAAGTTATTTCACCACAACCATTTTAAAGGGTTCTGGATCATCAGACTTTAAGGGCTGTGGTGAAATAACTTATTACATGGAACCTTAAAGTGGTCTGTTTTAATTCAAACATATTTGCTCTGAATTTACATTGAGCTCTCTAGATATCATCCTCCTTGGGTCTACCCATACGGATTACCTAGTTTTGCATAAACTATATATATATATATATATATATATATATATATATATATATATAGTCTGTCTGTTTCATACTAAACGTAATCGTCAGGCCTGAGGATTGCGTTTAGCATAAAACAACCTTTCGCCTTTGCGTGTTGATTTCAATGTTCACTTTTATCTCTCTCTCTCTATCTCTCTCTCTCTCTCTCTATATATATATATATATATATATATATATATGTGTGTGTGTGTGTGTGCGTGTGTGTGCGTGCGTGTGTATGTGCTTGTGTGTGTGTGTATATATATATATATATATATATATATATATACATACGCAGTCACCAGACCGTATAATCATGAAACAAACTGTCGTTCATGGGTGTTAACCTCAGTGTTCATTTTTATATTTACATACGTTCTATTCCTGATATTGACCACTTCAAGCCATAAATATAGCCTGCCTTAAAACTATATTTTATCATATATATATATATATATATATATGTATATAAATAAAAAGAAAGAACAGTAAGATATATAATATGGTGTTCTTATAGATATTTTTATTTTTACAAAATAGTCCTCATTGTAAATTTACAGAGCATTAATATTATAAATTAATTGATTTAAAATATGGTTTTTTCCGCTACACAGTTCTAACCATGTTTCAAAAATAGAAGCTAAAAGCCCCGAATTTAATTTTGTAATTAAATTAAAGACATTAGTTCCATTTCATCCTCAAGCGAATTTTTTCTCGCTTGAGGATGAAATGGAACTAATGTCTTTAATTTAATTACAAAATTAAATTCGGGACTTTTAGCTTCCATTTTTGAAACATGGTTAGAACTGTGTAGCGAAAAAAAAAATATTTTAAATCAATTAATTTATAATATATATATATATGTGTGTGTGTGTGTGTCTGTGTGTGTATATACTCATCTAGTACAGGTTTAAGCCTTCCCAAATATCTGGAAGATATTTGGGAACAACGGTGATGAAACTATTATTCTGACACATCTGTCTGCAATCAAAGTTTTCTTGCCCGATGAGTTGCTATACTAGTATGTCATTTTCGGCTACTGTTTTCTTTTTTCATCTTGAACACATGAGAAAAGACGCGTTCATGCCTTTTCCAAAGGCATTAGCACGAAAGGAACGTAAGCGGCCACAGCTGGAATTTTTAACTATTTTTGATACCATTTTTATTATTCTGTGTCAACATAACTCCAATCACTGAAAACAGCCCGTCAATTCAGAAAAGATTTTTTGTCATGTGTCTGTTTGTAGAAGGTGACAATTGTCATCCATTTTGATTTTTGGGATCCGGGAGAAAGTCTCAATATTTGGCATTGCGCAAAGAAAAAAAAATGCGCATCCTTGAGTAACAGGAAACATGACATTGAAAAGTTCCCCCCAGGAGGAAAAAATAAAATTAATAAGATTGGATATTTTTCGTCTTTCTCTGTACTCACCAGTTTATCATTTTTTTTCATTTCAGCATGTTTCTCAATAACTAGAACATTTTCTTCGCGCTAGAACACTCAACAGTCGTATAAAACACCGGTTCTCTTCAGATCACCGACGTTAAGCAATGCTGAGCTGGATCAGTACTCAGATGGGTGACCGCTGGGGAATACCAGGTACTATAAACTATGTGACAGATCTAGCGATGTATAGAATCTCAGTACTTATATTAACAAAAAATCTCGATATGTTTTTTCTAGACTGACACGTCAGAAGACCTGTCTGGAGTTGGGCGAGAAGAGAATTGGTAATGGTAATTAGCCATTTCCTTATAAGGAAACATTCGGCATTGATAATGACAGAGCAGATTCTACTAATATCGGTTGAAATTTAAAAAATCTTTTTTTTTTAAACAGATTTTCTAGAAAAATAAGTTCCTCATGTCAAGTAGCTTTTTACATGTTTTTTTTTTTTTTTTTTTTTTAGCGTTTCATCCCAAGCAACGCGAGAAGCCACTAGGACGCAAGGGGTTACAGAAAAATTTCGAGCAAGATCAGATAGGAGTGATAGAAGAAAGGATGAGGAGAAGGGTAGTGGATAGATCAAAGCGACTGGAGATGTCGATTGACATTACATTTGAGATTATAGCTCTCAGGGAAACTGGAATAGGGAAGGGAGTTCCACAGGCGAGAGGTGCGAGACATGAAGCTATTAGAGTAGAAGAGACGGCTACATTTAGGAGTTTCGACAGTGAAGGGGTGAGAGCGGGATGCCAGCCACGTAGGGCGCTTGAACTCATGACGTCTGGGAACCAGCGAATGCAGCTCCTCGGAGCAATTGCCATGAAAGTATTTGTAAAACAGACAGAGAGAGGCGACGGCGCGTCTGTGAGAAAGTGACTGTAGACGAGATGCCAGAGCAGGGCCAATTATATTGCATATCCGCCTCTGGAGCCTATCAAGAACCCCGAGGCAAACAGAAGGGGCTCCAGACCATATATGGCAGCAATACTCGAAGAGAAAATAATGACATAATAATATCCAGTTAATGACATAATAATATCTAGTTAATGACATAATAATATCCAGTTAATGACATAATAATACCTCGTTAGTGATATAATAATATCCAGTTAACTGTTGCTACAGTTGAAAGTTCTCAAGTGATGTAGTTTCCGTTATTTAGTACAGTTCTTTCCCAAGATCCATAGGCTTCAACCCCAAAAAGGAGAAAAATACCAATTCAGGACATTCAGATTTTTTTTTTAAATCAGAAAACTGATATAAATTTAACGACGGAGAATGGAAATATTTTGCTTGCCTTGGGCTGCCATAATTGCTAATGACGACAATTGTGTCATTGTTAGCAATTATATTAGCATCAGTTATCTTCTTGGACATTCAATATTACTTCCTGAAAAACTGAATATTTTATATTGATAAACGTTGCAATTTATATCGGTATATCTGTGCCAGGACAACATTGAAAAAATCGGCATTAAGATGTTGGTTGTGGCCAATGGCAGAATCTAAAAGATAAGAAGTATGAAACTATACGGCAATGGTGTCATTCAAAAAAAATCCTTGATACTGGATCATGAATGATGCCTAATTATTCTAAGTCAGATGGAAAAACTGTGGAAACACATGGAGTAGCGCATTGTGTATCCTAATATATATATATATATATATATATATATATATATATATATATATATATATATATATATATGTGTGTGTGTGTATGCGTGTGTATATATATATACATATATATGTATATATATATATATATATATATATATATATATATATATATATATATATATATATATATATATATATATATATATATATATATATATATATATATATATATATATAAGAAGCCACTATGATGACACATAAGCAGCACCAAAAAGAAGGGTGTGGATGCTATGGGGTATCCCAACGAACATTAGTTTTAAATCTATATTGAAGTGCGTACATATAATTGAATACCTACATATTATATACAGGGTGGCTCCAAATCGACTTTATTGTAATAATATTTTATATACACAGTTATATTTTAGCACGAACGTATTTGTTTTTCAACCTTCAGATGCATTTTAGTTTTAAATTTTTAAATGAATATATTATTCATTTTGTCATTGTTAAATTTTTATTTAAACTTTTATTTTATTTTATTTTATAGCATTACGGTAAAGTAATTTTTGGCTCACCCTGTACATGCTATAATATATATCTTGAAGTCTTGTCTGAAATTATTTAAAGTCTTGTCAGAAGTTATTTTTGTAGGAGCTGTTTACTTATTTATTTCAAGTTTTGTAATGTTTGCTGCAGCAGGTATTTTGTTGACTGAAAGTGCAGCGTTAAAAAGCATAAGTAATATTTCATATATGTGGACACAACATGGTCCGGCTTTGTGTGTGAAGGGAAAGGAATGTCACCGCCGCTCGTGGATCTAAATTAAAACTTAAGGGCGGATATATATATATATCGAAGCTTCTCTCCGAATTTCCGTTGTCGATAACGAGTGTCAGAACCATGTAGTGATCTTGCCGCTATCGAGTGAAAAGGAATAAAGAATTTCAGCATGAGTTTTTAAATCTTCACAGTCATGGAAAAACATTGCAAAGACAGAATGCAAATTCAAATTCAAATGAATAACTGTTAAGAAATGCTTGGACTCTGATTTGTATTTAGGGGGACTCACTGCGCATTGTAAATAAATCGTATATCAAATGCTGAATTTTAAAGCACTCAGACTTTTTCAGTTGGAAGTTTAAAGCAACACAACCTTTCTCCTCTTGGGTGATATAACAAACTAAACTAGATCTAGTAAATATATACCAGAATATATAACAGAAAAAAAAATGAAAGGATAGCACCTTAGTTATGAAATATGGCTGCGTTTGTAACTATATTAATTTTCTGATGATTCCTAAGTTAATGACGGAATAAGCTCCTAGTGAGTTCCATGACTATAAAATACCCATGGAATTTTCATGCATCGTTAAATATTTGAGCTTAACAACTTTAACAAAATATTACAATAACAATTATAAATATCAATACAGGTCATTATTTAAAGAAGTAAGAGGGTACAAATTAAAAGATTAAACATCAACAAGACTTTCCATTTCACTGAAGCAGACGTTAAGTGCATGGGAGTCTTATCGCCCCCTTTATCTTATCTTGATTTGTTCCATTATTTTTCTTTTGTTTTGCTCTGGGTAAGCTCCGCTCTCTCTCTCTCTCTCTCTCTCTCTCTCTTTTTCCTTCCTTCTTTTCCTTAAACCAAACAGCGTCTTTGATATATGTTTTTTATCCTCGCAATCACACAGGAATGGTCCATTGTTTATCAGACAGGTTGTAATGTACATACTAACTAAGTAAGGAACAAGGTGACTTATAACATGGTAGATTATTAGTCAGATTTCAGAAGCCGTTCCAGTTTAGCAGTAGTGAATGAAGTCAATATGGAATATAGTTATTACAGCCATTATGGGGAACTCTGAATATTTATTGTATAGAAACGGCTAATTTCCCCATTATTATAAGTGCGAGGCAAAAACGAATGACCTCAACCGGAAGTTGATTTTTTATGCTATTAACTGTTAGGCTAAGACTTAAAAAAATAACTCTGACCCTACGAAACACTGCATGCGATTCGGGTGTATAACGTTCTAGAAATAGGATCAATTTTTTTATGTATAGACCCTTTCTTATTGGTTGAAGAAAGCATAGCAAATAAAGTCCCCATGCTTATGTATCCTGAATCAACATCATCATTGTAAAATTCTTTCTATTTTCTCCAGTTACACTGATGATTTAATTAAAAAAACAAAAAAACACTCTTATGTGTGCAGATAATTCTATGTTCAGGTTTACCCTCCTTTCGGCGTTGTTGGAGTTTTCAGGCGAAGAAATTCTTATAATCTTTGGCGAGTTATTTTCTGTGTACGTTGTGCTCAGCTCCGGAGTTTGGCATCAGAGTAGTAATTGGACTGACCCCCAAGTGAACGGGGTCAGTGAAATTTGCTGCGTTCTTCCGCTCGTTAAGGCAGTAAACAGTTATAAATCTGTCAAAGCAACCTTCCAATGTTGGAGTGAGTCCCAGATCGATATGTTGACTGTCTTAACGCACTCCACCACCACCACCACCACCACCACCAACACCTTTGCATCTATCGCTGCCATTCGCTCTGTTACCGCCTTTTCTAACGTTGGCAAGCTATCTTGATTTGTTCCATTATTTTTCTTTTGTTTTGCTCCGAGTAAGCGCCACTCTCTCTCTTTCTTTGTTTCTTTAATCATTTCACTCCAAGCAAGGCAATAAAGCCACTAAGACGTAAGAGGTTACTGAGTATTAGATAATATGAGAAAAACACTGTTAATGAGAGGGAACACTATAATTTTTCTTTCTTTTGGTTTTGTAGCTTGTTTGCTCTTTTCTTTCATTCTTTCGTCTGTTTTTTCATTTTATTTTTTCTTTCTAACTTTTTTTTTTGTTTTCTGGCTTATTTGCTTTTTTGTGTCTTTCTTTTGTTTTTTTTTATCTTATTTTCTTTCTTTCTATCGTTTTTCTTTTGGTTTTCTAGCTTATATGATTTCTTTCTTTTCGTTTTCTAGTTTATTTGCTTTCTTTCATTCTTTCTTTCTTTTTCTTTCTTTCTTTTGATTTTCGAGTTTATTTCCTTTTTTTCTTTCTTTCTTTGTATTGGTTTTTATCTTATTTTCTTTCTATCTTTCTTTCTTTTGGTTTTCTAGATTATTTTCTGTCTTTCCCTCCTTCCTTCTTTAGTTCTTTCTTTCTTTCTTTTTTCTTTCTTTCTTCAAATGTCGTTGCTTTTAAGATTTCCATTAATTTTCTCTTGTCTTTTATCCCTTCTTTAATTTTCTCATTCCTCTATAATAGTCTCCATTCGTTAATTCAATGTTCTTCTTTTTCCTTTTTTATAACTATTCCTTTTCATTCATTGATTGATTGAATTTTTTTATCTTACTTTTTTCCATAACTACAATTTTCCCCTCATTCATTCATTCCTTTTTCTTTAACCATCCTTTGTTCATTCATTTAGTACTACACACCTTTCTTTTTCCATTTGCGTTCAGAAAAGAAAAATGTGAATATTTTTTTATTGCCACTGGTCGTCACTGTTCATTTTTTCAAGCTCAT